GGGGGGGGGCTCAGTTTGCCCACCTCTGGTATACACGGTTAGAATTTTGTACTGATGGTTGTATGACAAATCTGGTCAGAACATTCAATATTGCATCAAAGACTTGTCATTGAAAGTCTCGTTTGGTTTTAGCATTGGATTTTGGAACGAATGGAGTTCCTGGAACAAAAAACACATTCGCCGTTAGAATTTCATTTGTTAAAAAAATTTCCATCCTGCTCCTCAATTGTTCCCACCACTGCAATCGAAATTGATCATCGGTTGGACCCGACTCACTATTGGAAAACCGGAAGAATGTTCAGAAAACTCATTGTTTGAAAGAAATTCATGTATGATCTGCTTTAGACCAACTTAAAAAATGGCGCCAGTTTCTGTGGTGACAGCTGTGAATGACTCACCAGAAACTTCCGGTAATATTCCAGCGGCTCCACTGACCTGAAAGAGAAAAACACAAGTTTACGTTTTTCCCGTAATCAGCACACAGCCCCAAACAGGAAGCAATCCCCAGGGGCGGGCAAACTCCGGCCCTCCAGTTGTCGTGCAACTACAAATCCCATGAGGCATGGCAAGATTCTCACAGCCACAAGCATGACTCCCAGAGACAGATGCATCATGGGACTTGTAGTTTCACCACAGCTTAAGGGCCAGAGATTGCCTACGTTATACTGAGGGTGAGAGGGGACACGGGTACTCCTATATGGAAAGGGCCTTCCACTGTATTATACTCATCACTAGAATGCTGCAGACTTAAAACATAATACAAGCTTCAACTAAAAATACAGAAACCATGAACTGCAATTTCTGAATCATACAAAGCTTCAGCTTTGAAGCCAAAAGAGGGGACTAGAACCCCTGCCAGGTCTTTATTGCTATCTGTGTCCCCATTAGGTAGATCAATTCCCCCTATTTGTCCTAGTGACTGTTCTCACTGAAAGTTGTCACCAGGACAGGAATAGATGGGAAATCTTCTAATGGGGACACTAGTTCCTGTGACCACCAGGTATTTCCCTCTCTTTGGAGGGATTTACTTTCACTTCCTGTTGGAAAAGCTGCCAGGGGTTATACCCCTCCCTTACTCTGTCCCAGGGGTGGAGGAGTTATTATGGAATCCCAGAACCCGTCTGTTCAATCCCGGAGCATATAGTTGTTGTTTTTTTTAGGAGTCAGCTCCATTGATGACAACAAGCAGAGAAAACCTCAAATGTTGAAAAAACATCAAAAACAGGATGTCTTGCTGCACTCCTAACCAGAGTAACCCCAAGCTGGGTGGGTGCTTGTAGTGACCACGTAAGGCACCGTGTGAATCACAGAATAAAGGAATAATGTCACCAGCACACCAGTTTTTGTTAGTCAATGATCCATTTTAATGGCACATTGCCATCCAATACACAAGCGCTTTCGGGGCCGCAGGGGGTCCCCTTCATCAGGCTCAGAATGAGCTCATTCTGAGCCTGATGAAGGGGACCCCCTGCGGCCCCGAAAGCGCTTGTGTATTGGATGGCAATGTGCCATTAAAATGGATCATTGACTAACAAAAACTGGTGTGCTGGTGACATTATTCCTTTAACCTCAAATGTTGGGCACAAGCTGTCACTTTAAAGGGCATGCACTTTTTTTTTTTTTTTGCAACATGTGTGCATTTACTATTTCTCTGCAATAAGTGGAGCGTGCCTTTAAGTGAACCTGTGCACTGTCCAGGTAGAGAAAGAAATAGTGCAGATCTAACCCCCTTTGTGACGTATAGCTGCAGGGCAAGGGAGGTTCCTCTCTGCAACTGATGGGGGGGTCACAGTTTTGGCTCAGACAAACTGGGGTGACAGTTGTCACCCTATAACATGAAGTGTCTGAACAAGGAATGTCATGACAGGAGCGCCAGGAATTATTTTAGGGTGGAGTCACACGTTAGTGATCCATAGCATACCAGTAATGTGCGTTATGTTACTATAGACCATTACAAATGGACTGCTTGTGCACCACAAGAGATCAAAAAGCAAAGCAAACGCAAAACAAGTGTAGTTGTTGTCCCTAAGGGTGCCTCTCATTCCAATCATGGGTCACCATTTGCTTCCAATCATGGGTCACCCCTCGTTCCAATCATTAGTCACCCCTCCTTCCAATCACGGGTCACCCCTCCTTCCAATCACGGGTCACCCCTCCTTCCAATCACGGGTCACCCCTCCTTCCACTCACGGGTCACCCCCCCTTCCAATCACGGGTCACCCCTCCTTCCAATCACGGGTCACCCCTCCTTCCAATCACGGGTCACCCCTCCTTCCAATCACGGGTCACCCCTCCTTCCAATCACGGGTCACCCCTCCTTCCAATCACGGGTCACCCCTCCTTCCAATCACGGGTCACCCCTCCTTCCAATCACGGGTCACCCCTCCTTCCAATCACGGGTCACCCCTCCTTCCAATCACGGGTCACCCCTCCTTCCAATCACGGGTCACCCCTCCTTCCAATCACGGGTCACCCCTCCTTCCAATCACGGGTCACCCCTCCTTCCAATCACGGGTCACCCCTCCTTCCAATCACGGGTCACCCCTCCTTCCAATCACGGGTCACCCCTCCTTCCAATCACGGGTCACCCCTCCTTCAAATCATGTGTCACCCCCTCCTTCCAATCATGGGTCACCTCTCGTTCCACGGGTCACCTCTCGTTCCACGGGTCACCCCCAGTCCAATCATGGGTCACCCCTCATTCCAGTCATGGGTCACCCCCAGTCCAATAATGGGGTACCTCTCATTCCAACCATGAGTCACACCCCCATTCCCTACAAGAGAAGGGTGAGGACTGTATCTCCCCTCGTGCTCAGAGCTTAGCACTGTGTAAATCATGATAATCGCTGCTCTGTCTCATACTCACTTGAACCCTGCTGCCATCTTTCCCCTCCCACCATGTGTTCGGACAGGTTCAGTTCGGGTGCCGGTGTTGTCCGGAATTACAGGGAGATCCGCACGGAGCGGAGGAAGTCACACGTGCCGCCTGATAACATGTACAGCCGTCCCAGCATCCACAGAGAGGAGAGCCCTCCGCGCCGCACTCCCCCTACCGGACACACCAGGAACTGCACTGCTCATACTGCACCACTGTGCATGGCAGAGCCACTGACATACAACCTTTCTATAAAGGATCTACTGGTTTTACACACGGCCGTTTAAAAAAACAACAACTTTATTTCAGTGTAATAGTATTGTATTCCTTGTGTACAATATCATTTCAGCATCCAATGTTTCTACCTGTGCCAAGAGTTGTAATCCATAAAAAGTATTCTAATTAATAGAAAGAAGAAAATGTTTGCATAGGGGCCAATCAAAATTAAAGACAGCCCTGGGAATGACGTGTTATCTTATTTATGAGTGCGGCAAAAGAATACCTTCATTGTAATGCATACGGAGCCCTGTGGTTTGCATTATCTTTTTATGATTTTTAGAAATTGTCTAATAATAAAAGGAAGATTTCCTAATAATTGATTATACAGTTCTGTAAGTGGCGCCATAAAAAAACAGTCCAGTATAAAGTTTCCTAAAGCAAAACTACACCCTCCAATCCCTTACAGCCAAGGAAGGCGCCATCTTAGCCTCTGTTTGGATTTCCGTTGCCATGGTGCCGTACAGGGCCGTCCCTAAAAGGCAGCCTGAGGCGGCTGCCTCAGGC